TCTGCTTCAAGGAGCCACTAAACTTTAAAGGGATTAGAGAAGAACGGCTTCCTCCCCACCTCCCTCCTCATGGGCATGTCTCCGTGATTAGCTGGGTGCTTCGCAAGGCAGGGATGGATGAGTTTTGTTTTTCAATACACAATTGTCTGCCAGAGAATGCAGGTTTGATGAAGCTTAAGTGCTTCATGGGATTCCATCAGCTACATCTAAAATTCATTGGGAAACTATGAAAGCATTTAATTTTGACAGCTTGAAATGCTTTGGTTTCCACTGCTTCATTTTGTTTTTGGTGTAGCATAACCTAACTGGGATATCCTAATACATAACATGAAACTCTAGATTATAATATTGGGATTAAACATTTCACCCTGCATAATAAGGTAGGATGTTTTGAACCAACATATTTTGGTATTTGCCCTTGCAGAGGGGATTTCTGCTTGACCCTTTGGTCTGCACAGGGATGCCCAAATGTCCCATTTCCCCATGGAAAATTCTCCTTTTCACCTGCTTCCTTTTGATCTTCCCTCCCTGCTCTCCTTGGTCCCCAAGGAGTCCCCAGGTGACCTGTGTTGGAAGGAGAACAGAGGCACAGGCCCCCGGCCTTCTTCATTTCAAATCCCATTTCTATACGGAACGGTTACAGTCCTAAATTAAGCCATTTCTCTGCAGCAGCTAAGGAATAGCCCATCGGTTTGATGTGCAAGAGGAGGATTAGCTCCAGTAAGGCTTACGCACCTGTGTGGACCGTGCCGAATTTCTCATCCTTCCATATCTAAAAAGACTAGGCCGGACACAGCACCGGTGACAGTGTGGGTCACAACTCAACGGAGAGACCATCTCGTAGATGCTCTCCCTGCCACACGCGGGGCAGACGAGCTCTGCTACCCTGCGCGTTGAGCTGTGATCATGAAGAGCTGTTTACATTGCGCTTGCAGCCAAGCCATGTCCTCCTTGCTCCAGTCAGGAGGAAACTGTACCAGAAGAATCTCAGCCCCAGAGCAACAAAGTGCTGCTGGAGTCAGGGTTAACCTCGGCACACAACAGCGGTGCCCAGTCCTGGGGCGTCTGAGCTCAGGGGGAGCTCTTGCCCCTTACGAACACGTCTCCTGAGGAGGGACAGACCCAGGACATGACAGGTGCCCTTGCCAACTTGCCCAGCTCCACCCTCTGCACCGTGGGCCCCTGCCTGCAACGAGCACTTTGCTGATATCCGCAGGGCGCCCGGGAAGCAGGGAACCGAGCCGGAGGGGGCGCGCGGATCTCTGCG